CCTTCAGGAAGTCTTTGAAAATATAGATCAAGTTCTGCACTTGTGAAAAATCTCTTCCCCCTCAAACTATGATAATGACTCTGAGTCAGATCTGTCAAATGGGACTGTGCCTGTGACCTGTGAGCCACTGAGTGCAAGGACACTTAAAGTAAAAATACACACATTAAATCTACCTGGAGCTTCAAGAACAGATTCCAGATCTCAAGGATTTAGGTGCTAACCTTGAGTTGTTACCATTCATTTCAGCTCACCTTTATTCCTTTTGCTATAATGATAATGAATTTTCTTTGCTGGAAGCAAGTGCATACTTTAAATCAACATAAAAATCCAAAGGATAACTGCAGATATTTAATGTAGTATTTATTAGGGAAGAAAATGTACGAAATAAAGCTTTTGGTATTATCCCCAAATAAAAGTTTTTTGTATTATCCTCAAGAAATTAAGTTACAAGTCAGGAAATGGCACAGTATGTTCTCAGCCAGTTAAATGCTGTGTATTATTTTAGCAAACATTTCTGCTGGCAATTGTTAACCTCAGGCAATAGAAATACATGTTTGCAGAGGAGTAAAGAGCAACTAGGGAATCTGTTTATTCATTCCCATAAGAGCTTTTCTGAACTGATACACAGAGTTATTATTTCAGAATTAATTATAAAGCAGGCTTATTGTAAGTGGCACCTTTGCTGGTTGATTTTATTTTTTTATTTTTGAAAACCACATTAACAGCATACAATTATTACTTGGTTTATAAATAAAATGCAAAATTTGTTGTACTATTAGTAGAAAACTATGCTTGACTTCCACAATTTTCAGTGAATAAAGGACCTTTACCAGCTCTTCTCTTTGGGAAAATATTTTTAAAATTCAGTAACTGACATATGGTGTAAAATATTCAGTTCAAAGGAAGAAACAAAGCCAGACAGAAAACACAGACTGGTTTATATTTTTATGACTATAACAGTGTTCTTCCAGTATGGTAGGGAATTCATTCCAACATGTCCTTCAATGTGGCACTAGTATTTTATAATGACTTGCTGCAAGTCCTTTGTGATCTTGACTGTCTCTGTCCATTGCTCGAAGTTATGCTCCATGATACTGCACCTGTCAGACTGTTTTTCTGTTTCCAGAAATAATTTGCTTCTCCTGTCAGGTCCAGCACACAGTGTTTCTCAAAGAGCCTCTTCTGGGTGGTCATCTGGAAGCATCACCTTGGTGCAGAACAGGCAGGCTGCTGGCTTTGTGTTGGTTCACTTCTCCTCAGCACTGCCTACTGCCCTGAAGGCAGCATTAAATTCTATTCCTGGACTACACAGCATTTTAACTAGATGTGCAGACATGACATTTTGATTGCTAAATTCCAGGCCTATTGACATTTGTGACAAGGCTCAGAGAAAGACTCAGCAGAAAAAGGATAAAGATGCAGAGAAGGCAATCAGCTGAGGACAGTCAGAGATAACTATCCAAGTGTCCAGAACTGAATAAACACAGAGAAGTGTTATACCAAACCTGAAATGCAGCATTGAGAAGACTCTCTCATGCAGCATTTGAAGAGCAATCAAAAGCCAGAGCCATGGTGTTAAAAACAGGCATGTCCAAACCATGGAGAAATTAGATTTGAATTCAAGAGTTCTGAACTGTGGGCATTTCTGTAGAAGAGAAAATGAAAGCAGCTAAGTAAGAAACAGAAAGAAAAGCAGAAGAATCTTCCCAGGATCTAAAGGATCTGGAATGATCAATGAGAAAAGAGGAAAATTTACTTAGTATAATTAATACTACAGGCCTTTACCTGCATAACTTTTTTCTGCATAACTACAGTGTAAAAAGCATGGCTGCAGTTTCTTCCTTGTTGTATATGGTACTTAGATATAAATCATCTACGGGCTCGTGGCTACGCTTCAGTGAAACTGATGATATGAAAGTCTGTAGACTTAGGATGAGGCAGTATTGATAATAAAAAAGATCCACCTAGTGAAAGGAATACTAAAATTGTTTCCATTATAAAAATGTATCTTTTGATGCTTCTTCATGTTATTATGCTTTAGGAATGTGCATGATTATCACTAAGTATAAGAATCATGTATCATTCAGACTCCCAAGGATGTCCTTGAAGAACAGTCTCAAATGCAGACACTTGAGAGTTCCCAGATTACCTGCTGGAGCTGGAGAGACTGATTCAAGGTCTTACATGGATAAATTATCAGTTTTCCTGAAAAGGCAGAGGTCAGTTGGAGTTACTCTGGTATAAACTGAGGGTAGTCCAATGTACTGCATTTAACCACCACCTGGTTTTAAAGGCAGATGCTTGGGTTTGGTTGTTTTATTTATTTATTTATTTATTTATTTATTTATTTATAATATCTGTGTCCCTTTGCTGCTTATTTATCTGATTTAGTAGCTGTAAAATTCACACTCTCACTGGAATTTATCATCATCTAAAACTATTGCATTTAGAGTAAGTGTTGAGAAAGACTTGGTTGTCCACAAGCAGGGGTAGCATTTCAGGAAGAGATATTCCTATTTGTAGGGATGAGTAGGAATTTCATGTCACAGATACAAACTATTCTTTGAAGGGAGAAATAGAACACAGAGCCTTAAAGTTAACAGATATCTGTTGTATGGTGTAACTGTGAATCTCCCAGACTTCAAAAAATTAAAAATTGCTTTGAAATATCAGAGTTAGTTTTCAATTACTCTGAACAGATGGCTTAAGGGGAAAGACACAAATGTTGCTGCTGACAATAAAAGTAAAAAAATTAACTGATCTGAGTGTTGAAAGGAGTAAACAAAATTTTCTCTTCATTTAATTGTGCAAATGTAAGCTAAACATTCTTCTTAAATTACCATCAAAATGCAATAACAGCAAATGCAAAATTGTTTTGGTCATGCATATTTTTAAGTCAGTGAGTGCTACAGTACCAACAGTGTTAAGAATGGAGCCCTTAGAAATATCAGTGATCACTCTTTCTTCCCCTGTCCTTAACTGGTGTTATTCCTCCAGTGTTACCATAGAAGCCAAGGGAAATTTCGCCACAGATTTTGAATGGAGTACATTGAGCTCTTTGTGTTATAATGAAGCCAGAGATGTTGAAATTTCATAAGTTACTGTTGCCTTCCAAATGCAAAATATTCTATTTACCTGGCCCTGTGTCTAAGTGACCTATACAGGAAAAATCCCTATTTAAACTAGCTATTTGTTGGTGACGGTGAACTCTTTTAGAATATATCTATGTATTTTTCTCATTTTCTTTTCCAAGAGGGCAGACCATTATACAGAACATATCTAAATATATGTAAATATAATTTTTTATTCTCTTGAGAGAAAGAATAAAAACTTTAAACATTACAACCATATTGACTCCATTGTGCTTAGTTTTGCTAGCTAATTTCTTGTCCAAAATCTCACCGAAGACAATGGTTTTACCAAATGACTATGTGAGTTTTTTAAGGAAGAGGACTTGGAATAAACAAAGATGAGCTTCTATTCTACCCATTCCAAGAGATGACAGATATTTAATGCAGCTCCCGTCGGTCGGGATGGCGGCTCTGTATCGAATACCGTACGGAAATTCTCAAGGTGTGTTTGAGCGCCGTGGCCGCCGTGCCCAGGGGAGGTGCGGGCGCTCGGAGCCACCTGCAGGGCGCTGTGTGCCATCTAGTGGCACCGGGACACGCGGCCACACCGGCACCCAGCAGAGCCGCAGAGCCCATCAGCCTGGAGAACACCTGGGGATCGTAAAGTCCAACCTGAGGCCAAACACCACCTTGCCAACTACAGCATGGCACCAAGTGCCACGTCCCGTCTATCCTTGAACAGGATGGTAACTCCACCGCCTCTCTGGGCAGCCCTTTCCAATACCATTTCTTGAAGAATTTCTTCCTATTGCCCAACCTCAACCTTCTCTGGTGCAGCTTATGACTGTCCTCTTGTCCTGTCGGTAGTTGCCTGGGAGAAGAGGCCAATCCTCACCTGGCTATACTCTCTTTTCAGGGAGTTGGAGGTCTCAGAGCCTCCTCTTTCCCAGGCTTAATTCAAAATCTGGGAAGCATCTCCTGGACATAACCAGTCATGAAAGAAAAACCAAATGTGTTCACGTCCAACAGCAGTGCCTCTTGCAAATCTGTCTCCTCCTTGATGTATTGCAAAATACTGCCTCTAATTTATCTTTAGCTGTATTGGCAGCTCCTCACTGATCTTTGTCTTCCCCCTCTACTCCACTCTTGTGAAAACCCACCTGGACTGCTCATCCAGCTCTGGGGCCCTCAGTACACGAAAGACATCGACCTGTTGGAGCAGGTCCAGAGGAGAACCACGAATATGATCAGAGGGATGGAGAACCCCTCCTACAAGGAAAGGCTGAGAGAGTAATGGCTGTTCAGGCTGGGGGAGGTAAGTCTCTGGGGAGACCTTGTTCTTTCCTTCCAGTACCAAAGGGAGACTACAAGAAAGCAGAACAGGGACTTTTTACAAGAGCATGTAGTGACAGGACAAGGGGGAATTGCTTCAAACTACCAGAGAGTCAGTTTAGATTAGATTATTAGGAAGAAATTCTTTGCTATGAGGGTGGTGAAGCACTGGAACAGGTTGCGCAGAGAAATTGCGGATGCTTCCTCCTTGGAAGTGCTCAAGTGCAGGCTGAATGGAGCTTTGAGCAACAGGTCTAGTGAAAGGTGCTCCTGCACAGGAAGGGCGATTGGAACGACATGAAATTTGAACCCCCTTCCAACCCAAACCAGTCTATTATTCTCTGACATAGGCAGGTCAGCTGGCCCCTCTCTTCCACAGCCAGGAAGGAGCCCGGCATCGAGCCCCTCGGGTCATGAAACGAGACTCGTGGGGCCGGCAGCCGCCACAGCCAAGGGAGCGCACCCGCAGGCCTCCCACCGCCGCGGCCGCGGCACGGACTACAGTTCCCAGGTGCCCACGGGGCGGGCCGGCGCGGCCGCCGCTGCCGAGCGCACCTGCGCGGGGGCTGCTGGGAGCTGTAGTAGGGGGCGGGGAGAAGATGGCGGCCAAGGTGAGCCTGGTGCTGCGGCCGGTGAAGAGTATCGTGGTCCGGTTCTGCCCCTTCGAGCCCAACGTGGAGAGCACCAGGTAAGGGGGCTGCGAGGGCGGCCCTGGCTCCGGGCCTCTCTGCCCGGGCTCCCTGTCTGTAGACGCCCCAGCGCCCTCCGTACGCCTTTCCTGTGGCCTCCAGGGCGGCGGGTGGTTCTGCGCGGGCTCCGCGCGTCTCCCTGCGGGCGCTCGGGCCGGGCTTTGGCACCCAGGCTCGTTCCGTGCTGCTGGTCCGAGCGTCTGTGCCCAGCCAGACCCTTTTTGAGGGCGTGCACTGAGCTTTACCCGAGTACTCCGTGGGTTGCCCCGCAGTGGCCGATCCTGTAGTGTGGGTGTATAACCCCTCCAGGTGCTGGTAACGGGGCAGCGGGGCAACCGCGGCTCCTCTATCCCCGTAATTGCTTGTTGGAGAAATTTAAGGGATTGTGCTTCTCCAGCGATGTAGGTTCTGCACCAAACAATTACAAAATGCCGTTTTGCAGGGACTTCACAGGCACATCTACTTTTAAAATTAATTTATCTTAATTTAGAATATCCTTAAACTGCCAGAATAGCAGCTTAAAGTAGCTGTCATGCATTTCAGAAATCTACAGGAGACCAAAGATGTCATATAAATAAATGCTGTCTCAAATCCAAATAAGAAAACATTGGCAAGCAAATGATGTATAAAGAAAAATGAAAGTGCCTTTGCTGTTTATTTTTTTTATTATTGTTACCAGTCTAGCTAAGAGAAACACAAAAAGTGTATACACTGAAGTTTTACAAAGTTCTTTGATATGCTTTTTACATGTTACTATATGAGAAATATCCATTTTGATTTTTAAGAGTGATTCTCTCATAAGAAGTACCTGTCTGAACTTAAGTATAAATCCTATTTTGTTTATATTCTGTGGCCCAGCAATATTGAGATACGCAAATTAGTTTTAGAAATATGCTTACCTTAATTTCTGACTACAACATATTTAATATATTTTTTAATATCTTTTCAGAAAATTTCTCCAGTGTATTTATCATAAAAAAGTCCAAGCTACTAATACAAACTGTGAAGTGACTACCGATGTGAGACATGATGGATCTGAGCCAGTTGTAGATGTTATGTTTGGTAAGGAACTTGTTTTTAAACAGACAAAAAACCCCTGGGTTTATGTTGCTACAATGTTACTGTATTCTGTATTTTATTTTTTTTTTAACTGTGATTTTTTTTTTTTTTTTTTTTGCTCTGGTTCATAACTAGATGTTGTGCATCTGAGAGGAAAAAAGAAAGAGGGTGTCACTAACAGCCTGATGTCTAAATAAATGTGTATAGATGTCTCTACTATTGTTAGATCTAGGGGATCTTAGATCCAACAGCTGACAACACTGGAGCTGACTGTACTTTTGTAGTGATATATTTATATGATCTTGCATTCAGGTACAATTCCAGGAAAGAAAATGTAGATCTCTTTTTTATATAATAATCTGTTTACTTTCTGTAATTTTTTTAATGTTACCTGCGGTGGAGGCATCTCAGTCTTGAGAACACAAGGTTGAATACCTTTAGTTGCTTATGCAACCTATTTTGAAGGAACTGCTCAGGTGGGTGAGGCTATACATGTGCAGATGGACCTGCAGAATGAGGTCAACCACGTACAACAAATTTCTTGGTTTCCTTTGAGGGTATAGTGAGTGGGCAGGGAATTGGTGGTGGAAATTTCATCAGTTCTGGAAGCATCCCAGATTCTAGGCTATGAACAGATGGCTCTAATCTGCTTTTGTCCTTTTCTCTGGCTGCATCTTCTTTCCTGCTGTGTTGTAATGGACCAATGTGTCACGCAGCCCATTAAAGTTTTCATTAATATTGATTCCTGCTACCCTCTTATCTTTAAACTTCCATATTTTTAGTGAATTGGTGGAGATGTCAAAAGTGTTGAATGTTTTGCTTAGGAAAGTCTACCTATTTCAATGTTAACATTGCTTCTCTCTCTCTCTCTCCCCCATGCCTCTGTCCTACCCATCCTTGTGATGTATTAAGACTAAGGCAGTAAAGCTCTATGTTTTTTTGCAATGTAAACCCAAACCAGTTTATCTCATTAATGCCAAGACACCTCTAAACCCTTCATTTTTTAAGAGCTGATTTTTCTCCAGTGAAGTGTTTGTAGCCCTTCTAGTTGGCAAAGATGAGGCTGGAACATGGATGCTAGGCATCATATTTCAGTGTATGGGTTTGGGTATCGGTTTTGTATTTGGAAATCTTGCAAAATAATTAACTTGGGTAATATTCAACTTTTACTATTCCCTGCCTGTTTTAAAATAAATTCTTTCAATATTCTAGAAATCCTAGTGCTTCCTATTTTTTTTGACATTATAACCACAGGATTGTGTGAACCAATTAATTGTTTTGGCTGAAGAAGTATATTAAATGAACCACAGACAACAGGCTACTAAAATGCTTAGCCATATGTGGAAATTGTACTTTCCAATGCCTTCTTTGCCTTTTGTGAGATGACTTTGGGGGCATAGTATGAGCCATCCTTATAAAATGTGTTCTTTTTATAGGAATACCTCAACAAATGCTTCAAATTTTTCAATAATGCAATGCAGAAATGAAAATTAGGAGCATATTGTGTGCAGTTTGATGTGTTTGTTTGGTGGTGGTGCATAGTCAGGTTCCTTGGTAGCTGGAGTACTTTCTAGTCAGACAAGGTGAATTGTGTATTTGGATTTATATGTTCAAAACAGCTGCACACCAGAGTAGCTGTCACTTTGTGACTTTTTAAGGTTTTCTTCATTTATAGCTGATGGAGATCGACTGATAATGAAGGGAGCCCACTTGACGACAGGGGAAATGTTGTCAGCATTGTCGTCCAGATGTCATGCAAAAGACCTTAAGGAAGAACAGAAAAGCAAGAAGAATCCCTGAAGGATGGAAAGAACAACTGTGTTTGCATCTACATGTGTTAGAAACAGCAGGCTGCACAGAAGGCTATTTCCTATGCAACACAATCTGAGAGATGGCCAAAAGACTAGATGTTCCCTGCCTTCCCTTGAAGGAGAGCATGCTAGATCAACAGATCTTCTAACATTAGTGGGTCAGAGTGGCATAAGATGCATGATTGCATCTTTCTAAGCAGCTGCATGTTGGACTAATATCACATGTATTTGCATATCAATGTGAATAATGCACATTAGCTATTAAATTAATACTGCAATGAAGCCAGATCTCTTTGGATATTATTTCCTGCTAAAGTTCTATTAGAGTAAGGTAAAACGTTTTTAGAGTGCTTATTATTATTATTATTTGAAAGCTATTGAAGTCATTAAAAATCTGAAGAAAACTTTTAAAAGTATTCATCATTTACTTAGCTGCAGGACAGCAGGCTGCGAATGTGGAGTGTTTTTTGTACTACTATGTTTATGATACATCTGTTGCTAAGTCCCTACCACTTTCTTCCTCTTTTTTTTTGAAGGAAGTGGGAAATTTGCTAAATGTAAATCTAGCTCAGCTATTAAAGTAACAAGGTTATGGGACTGTCAACACAGAGTAGAGTTACTCATCCTGCATAAAAATAACTAAGTATGGCTCAAGTTAGTTTTTTGATAATTGGAGAAAAGGGCTATCTTTGAAGTTCAGTTCTGTAGTGGTTTTGTCACTCGCTTTTGGAATATGTCATTAACTATTTTATAAACATCAAAGGGAGAGCTTTATTTGGTGTTTATAGTCCCATGTCCAACCCTATTATTTATTACAGTAACTGCTTAGGTGTCTCATCTGTATTGCAAAGCTCTGTGGGTTTGGAAGGGTCGATCTCTCCTCAGGCTGTGCAGGTGAAGGTATCACCTGCACATGTGTTTCATGTGCATCAGTTTTGTTCATAACAAAAATGTAATTCCAGTTTTGAAAATTGCAGGTGTGGAACTCTTGAGAGGCTTCTACCTTTTTATAATCAGATGCCTGATTTCTCTAAAACTAGTACATACACTTCCAAAGTGGCAGTGGATTCAGGACACAAATCTGAAACTAGTTTTACCTTACTTTTGCCAAGCTTACTAAATGGACATTGTCCGTTCTGAAAGCAAGATGGTTTTAAATAGCACTGTCAAGGTAATTCTTTGCAAGTTCTTCATTAGAATGTTGAAGTCAAGGTGATGTCTTATGTTGGAGAGGGGGAGCTGTGTTAAAGACGTTGGGTGTTTGCCATGTGTTTGTAACAAACAGAAGAGTGTGAGATAAGACAATTCAATGAAATTTGGACGTGGGAACAAGAGATGTGAATAACTTTGTCTGGAGTAAATACCTTCTCTGCACTAGAACCCTTTTTTTTATTAGGCCACCAGCTCTTCAGAGTGGTTTTGGAGTGCTGAGCTGCTAAACCTGCTACTGAGCTCCTTTATAACAGAGGGGTTATGAGAACACCTGAAATGGAGAGGATTTTAAATCCTGCCAAGCTAGAGGAGTACCATAGAAGAGGACCAAATTGAAAAGAACATTCAAAGGACATGTTGTTTTATTGTTTTGTTTTATTTTATTTTGTTTTCCCCACAGTTTAGAGGAAAATCATATACGATGATTTCATCTGAAATAGCTTTGCAGGAAGAGTGAGAATTGTTCAAGTGGAAGACCTACACACAGTTATTGTTCCCCTGGTTAATCGTGTATTCATATGCTCAAAAGCCCTCTTACTGTAACATATCAATGGTTTTTGTGTTTTTGTTTTTTTTTTTCTTTGACAGTCTGTACATCAGTGTACAAAACTTGTGTTTTAATTTGAAGTGCCTACATGAATCTTAAATAGTTAGCCATCTATAAGTGTTTAAAGAGTTAAACAGAAGTAATTAATAATTAAGTTCCAATAGTATTTATTTTGGCCTGAGATTGGGGCTTATATTTATGTATAGAAAAGGGAGAAAAATAAAGATACTACCTAGTTTTTTATCACTAAAATATATCACTTCTGTTGTCAAAGAAAGGTAGTTTATTTTTTTTTTTGCTTTACTAGCCTGGGTAGGCATCCTGCTCTGTAAAAACACACTTTTGCTAAATACTTTCATTTTAATCCACACATGCCCAATCTTCCTGCTAAGGTTAGGCCAAAGGCCTGCGATGTCACCATTGAGAGATCACCAACAATTCAGGGTATGAGGTGTAGGCTGGTCCTGCTGTTGCTGTGGGTGCTGGGAGCTGCAGTTTGCAGAGATAAAGCTCTGATACGTTTTGTGCATGAAAAAGAAGTAATGACTGTAAGTAATTAAAAAATTACTTTTTAATATGCAACTTGTAAAGCAAAACCTACAGGACAGAAAAATCAAGCTAAAAATGTGCATCCTCGAGACAACAAGATACTGAAGTGATATAAACAAGCAAGATGGGCAAGAAAGCACTCCTCTGATGATTATTATGCTAATATGTAGAAAATTGCTCTCCCTGTACCATGGAGATAAAGGTACGAATTTATTTTTCAAGTACGTTAAAGATAATCTGTAATGACTTTCTTCCCTGAGCATTTAGATAGCTTTGCTGCAAGCTGCTCCTGCACTCCCAGCTCCTGCTGCTGATTGCCTGAAACAAAGCTCTGACAGCTCCTGACATGCACAGGCCAGCGCTGGGGATGTACTGGGTATTAAGGTCACTCATGCACAACAAAGCATGTCTGGGTGAGCATTGACTTTGCATGTTGTTATTCTTTAGCCCACTAATCTTGATTATTATATCCAACCAAAAATGTGGGTGCTTGCCCAACTATAAAAGGAACTGGAACATATACTAAAATACTGGGATTGCCTAAATGCAAATACAATGGCGACGTAGGATGTCTGATAGCAGGTGATGACATTAAAATGGCTAAATCTCTAATGCCTGGAGATTTAGCAATTATTAGAATCATCTTAGATCTTTTCATTGTACAAATACATATTTATTTAGACATTCTTATCAGTGCATAGGGAAAATAGTCTTGAAATGGATGAATATGCCATTCAGATAACACAGTCTGGCTGAGGTACTCCCTTTTGAAGTATCTGCGGCATTGTTTTTTGAAAAAGATAATGGTATTTTTATTAAAGATTTCAACTAGGAGCAGCAGTGTTAGTGAACATTTCAAGTTCTTCACCTCTGCTTGTTTGAATTTTAAATGACCAAGAAGTTTATATGGTATGAAGAAACCAGGAAAAAACCTCAAAAGTTGAATATCCTGGGACTGTATTTAACAGTTCTCAAGATGCTTGCTTTTAAATGTATCTCCTACACGTATATACTCCTTGCAGTTTTAAGAATTGCTGGCTCACTGACCATCTCACCAGCTCCATGTGCAACCAGTTTCCCTGGATGCATGCCCTGCCTTTCCATCGAGTGGCTTGGTGTCGCGTTGAGACTGACATGTGCCTATCAGTGATGACTTCCAGATGCACTTCTCTGCCTTCTCCATCTCCTGGCCGAATACTCTTTCTCCTTACTGGTATTGTTTAATGTACAGATATTAGGGGTGTGAAGGCAAAGGAGCTGCTGACCTGTTTTAATCATGATTCCTGAAGTTCCAAAGTGGTACTGGAAAAGGAGAGTTAAGGCAAGCCTAGAGATTTTGGTTCATTTAAAGCAGTCTCCTACATACAACGTACTGGCAGTGTTAATAGCAGAGGTTAATAGCACATCAGAGGAGGTCTTTGCATTGTGCGTCACTGGAAGAGGTGAGTTTGACCTGTTTCCGTATGAATGAATATTTCTTTTAAGGCAAAATAGCTGGAAAAGTGGACCAGCAGACATGTTTGTGAAGGGAATACTTGGTCAATAGGAGCAAAGCCTGGGGAAGACATCCTTAGTTGACAGATTTTCACAATTCAAACTGACAATCCCTGCAGGAAGTTCAGAGGACAGGTAGGAGGCAAAGCAGCAGGTTCCTTCAGGCACTACTCTCTTTCTTTTGAACCTTCCACCCTTTTTCAACAAGGAGTCAAAGACTAACCTTACTGTAAAAATAACATGGTTGGCATACAAAGCCAGCCTCTCTAACAAAGTCCTTGCATGGATGCATGGACTTGTCTTTTCACTGTTGGAGAATCTGAGTAGTTCAAGTCACTTGCATTAATAAAAGAAACTATAAATATTTTCATGGAGTTTTTAAAGTATCTTTTTATAGATGAAGATGTATAGAACTTGACTTCAAAATCCACTGCTCAAATGAATTTCAGAGTATTTACTGGGAATGAGAAATTTAAGAATCAGATGATTACTTCTTCAAATAGCTATCAAGTATCAAGTATCAAGTTAAACTGCATGTAAAAGAAAAGGCGGCAGAGTCATTACCAAAAACTTTTGGCAGAAGCATAGGAAAAAAATCAGAGAACTGCAGTGTAATTTCCTACTTCCTTACAGATTTTTTCAGGTCTGGTTGTTAGATATGTAATATAAAATCTTGAGATGAAATCAGGGATGTAAACCCAAATACTGTGAGACTTCAAGTCTAGAAGACCAAGCTGGAAAATACCTGCTTGTCTTGCATGGTAGCTTGAGATGCCAGAGGGAAGAATTTTCTTAGAAGACTTTTTGAATGCGCGTCATGTAGTCAACCCTCTTGGCAAACAGCATGTTGTCAATGGGAATGGGATAATAGTAAAAGCTAGCTTAGCTTCCAAAGGGTTTTTCCCCAGCGTTCTTTTACAGTCCTCATGAAAAATGAGGTCTTGAAAGGTGAGTCAGAACTGGAAGCTAGTATATTGAGCAGCAGCCTGGAGAGCCTCTCTCTTCCTGCTGTGTGCAGATGTGAGAAGGCTTGTGCTGTTTGGTGAAAAGGAACCCTCATCAGCAGTGCCTCGGGTGTTTTATACCTAAGCCCGTGCCACCCCAGGATGAAGTCCTTTGGGAGCCCTGGTCAGGTAGACAGCCTACACATATTCCTAGCACCCTACTACATGATTTTGGCCAACAGGAGGAGGAGCAGTTGGAGCCCCTCTCCAGCTTTCCTGGGAAGGGTGTTGGTATCCACATCACAGTGAGAAGACATTTCCTCTGTAGAGTATGAGTGTCAGGCTCTGCCCTTCAAATTTCTGTACTATGATGCTCTCCTTTGTGACATCCTGAGAATGAAAGGTATGGTTATAACTATAAATGAAACTTTATTTTTCTCCTGAGGTTCCCTTCACAGTGGTTAGTTGATCAATATCCTTAGTAATGGAACCCTACTTATTATAAGAAATGAAAGAAAAAAGCTAAAGCTTTATAC